TACACTGCCTGGTTTAAATTTATGTTAGGACTTTTTCAGCTTTATTGGCCAGTTAAAAACATTTTTACAAAAAGAAACCAACACCTAATTAAAAGTAATGTTACATTACTTTGAAATAATTAAAATAGTTACATTAATTAATACATTTTTAACAGAGTAACTATTGAATCTGTCACCTATTACATTTCAAAAGTAACCTTTTGTAACCTACTGTAACATATTTTCACTCTTTGGATACGTGAAGGTTGATGTTCAAATGTCTACACTATTGTTGTGAAGGACTTGTGTACATAAACGTACTACGTACTCAACAATTTGGAAAGTAGCCAGCGTGCAGGTGGGCCCAAGCACGGCACACCCCAGGCTGCCTGATGCCTGCGAGAGAAAACAACAGTGTGAGTTTTTGTCTGTGTGACTTTTTTCACACTTGTGCGCACTAAAATTAGGAGCACTAATACAGTTTATTTTGATTTTAATTGCTGTAAATATAGTAGACCCCAGGAGTGGATGTAAAACTGTAGCTTCTTACCAGCAGGCTTTTTACCTCTTCCACTCCCTCACACATGGTACTCGTACAGCCTGTGTGACTATAGAAGACTGTGTTGAACCCACCGAAGTTGGCTGTGAGATTAATCTTCACACCTTTATTGGGGTTTGTAGAAAGAGAGAGCCAGAAAAACATTTCATAATTTGGGTAAATACAAATTCACTTGCAATATCAGATCGAATGAAAAAGGTCCATAGGTGTCTTTCTTGTACAGTGAACATCTGTGCTTGCTAAACAAATCTGTGTTTAACCTGTTTTCAAAGTAGCTTCCCCAGTGTGACACTGACTGCTCTACTAGTAATGCAGTAATTAATACTGCTCACACTTGGAATCTACAGCACTGCAGCATGTAGTAATATCATTTTGAGTCCATAATAGATCATAATCCTGTTGTATTTTAAATTGTATTACCTTCTGTAGAATTAATGGCCGAGTCTGTCGCAATGGCCTTCAGTATTTCTCCTTTCACAAAATTCAGGCTCCAGGGTGACGTCTCATCCTGCAGCAAGATCACATTGATCATAACCTTATCCATACACTGTGTGATGCCCCGACACGGAGCAACAAGAATGCCCAAGGACCCCAAACACAACCACCAGCCACCTAGACCCATTTTCCGCTCTGAAGTTTTTTCTGTTTATATTTTTGAGCTGTTAAAAAGAGTCCATGGTCTGTTTTCTCCTCTGCGCCAGTCGCTTCTCAGATTCACACTTCCTCTGTTAGTGGCTGCTCACCTGTCCCTCTGAAATTGTTAATGTACAACTTTTAAAGACAGAGGCGGGCCATATGTCCTTCTCACTGTTGTTGTGTGAACATCAGGCTTGAAGAACCACAGAGCACAGACTGCTGTTGTTTTGCTCACCATACAGCAGAACTCATTAATTCATCAGGTTGATTTCATATTTCAAGGCAGAAGCTGAATCAAAAATCTGACTGAAGCAGATTTTAAACAGATAAATACTGAGAGTTAGATGAGAAGATTGATGAGAGAGTCGCCCTTGGGGCGCTGAGCACACCTAGAGTCACTTCATCTAATTAGAAGAGTCCTGTTGAGGAGACGTGTCCTGTTGCCCCAGTGTTCCTTATTACGCACTGGCATTTTGGTTTAAAGCACCTGTGGTACCTGGACTTAGATGAGAAAGCCCACAGGCGTCGTCAGACCTCTTTTACTGGGGCATGTGTCCCAGTATTGCTCTGCTGTGCCGCAGCACAAGTTTGAATTTTAACTAGCTCCTATATTTGGCAGTGGATAATAACAGGAAAGTAATTGTTATGTTCTGATCCAGCATGTAAAGGCAAAATACAAGCTGTGGCACAGCGGTCAGTGTTTGTACAGCACAGTGCGCACATACACGCATGTCATAGCTGGTGCACTGCAGCACTCTGTGTATTGGTGCACGAAACAAATAACATGTCATAGTGATGCCCTTAGGATATATTTCATTTTAGAATTATATTTGAAGTAACATCACTTCAAAACAATAAATCAGTGGGTTATCAATAGGGAACAAAGCTTTAACTGATTGAACCAATGAGGATTGCTTATCAAATCTGAGGTGTCATTTACACCTACCAGTAAGATGAAGTGGAATTACACATAAACAATGACATGTGAGCTTAAAATACTGTCTTCTGTGGTGAAATGACTGTGTTTTTCTGTCAAATACTGAAAACTGAGTGAATGACAAGTAGACATATGCTTTCAGTGTGTGTGTGTGTTAGAGACAGGCCGACGGCAAACATAGAAACAACTTGTTAGTTTCTAAAAGACATGGCAGGAAAGGGAAATCAAGAGAGAAACGAGAAGAGCAAAGGTTGGTTGGGCCATAAAAGTCATCGCAGATAACATGCTATAAAATTGCACACATTTCTGTGATTTTCTTCAACAGGCTTCATCTGTAACACACCCTGCAGTACAGTGGCTGGAGAGGACTGAAAGACGTAAATGAATCCTGCAGCTAATTCAACAGAGAGTGCCCTCATTCAATCAGCACAATGTTTTCAAGTTATTTAAATGTTTGGCCTATACACAGTCAGTGGCAGTAACTCTGGTGTCTGATGGTTTGTGCAGTGACATGGCCATATATTCTAAATCCAAATGTACAGCAGGCTACACACACACACACACACACACACACACACACACACATACAGTTTAATGACAGGATTCCATGATGGAGGCATAGTAACCAGCTTCTAGTGTTTTTTCTCCTGAATATTGCTCATCAATCACTGTGATGCAGGGAACCATCCCGAACCTGGCAATAAAAGTTATAAATAAATCAAATACAATAAACCAATAAAAATGTCTTTCTTACTGTACATGAATGCATTTGATTTGTGTTTTATTCAACAGTGTTATTCCTGCTATAAGCATGTTATTTCATAATTATTATCCTTTAAGATCTGAAACGGTATTGAGTCAGGTAAAGGTTTGTTACTAAGGCATTGTGGTTTGTTTTAAACTGGAGGATTCTGTTAATCTCCTGATTGTCACTGGTCTGTAGCAGGTGAAAGGAAGAGTGTTGCTTTTTCCCACATGGGTTGAGCTTTCTGAGTAATCATGGCCTGTGAATACACTGATTAGGCTAAATGGGGTTATATTTCAAATGAGAATATTCCTTCCACTACATCACCAGCATTTTCTGATGACACTTGGTGACATACACTCACCGGCCACTTTATTAGGTACACCTGTACAATTGTACGTACTTCAATGCAACACTTCTGCCTTAACGTCTGTGTTTATGACGCTCAGAATGTTTTGGTTTTTGGTGAAATTGTCATAAATGTATAAATTAAATCATACTGTGTAATAAACTATGTGTTTATTACTGAGGTCCTAGTTAGAGGCGGTGTTGTACTGGACTACATTATACTTAGAGGTGTGTCTATCTTTTTATCGTCTCCAGCTACATACAGGTGTACCTAATAAAGGGGCTGGTGAGTGTATGTATTTTGTTAATTATTAGCCAAAGGGTGCGTGCGTCATTCAGTGGAGACTTGTGAACATATACTGCTTATTTTCGCTCTTTGGTTTTTGTTTGCTTTTGTTTTATTGTCTCTCGAGTGCAAAAATCAGGCTAATAATTCTAAACTGTGTCTTCATCTTTAACCAAATCAGCCAGGCCTGGATGTTTATGACTATCATTTATAGCAGCATGGTCGGGGGAGTTCACTTCAAACAAGCCTGACTATCTCTGTTTAGATCCTAATTTCTGGTTGATAAAACTAATGTTTTGTTCTAATTTAAATATTTTAAAATCCTACGACATATGGCTGCAGTCACTGTGTGGGTTGAAAAAAACAAATAATGCCTGAAAACTAAACAAACGCAGCCTATGTGTGTGACCATGTGAAGTCCTGTCTTTTCTGCCTCATTACACTAGTCTTTGTGTTTGAATTAGTTCATTTTTCATCGTCACTGTCTTTTTTAATCTGTCTTTACACCTGAAACATGTTCACCTTTAGTGTGTGAGCACATTCATTTTTTCTTCTTTTTGATGAATATATTTAATAAAGGTATTCAGTGTTTTAAATTAAATTAAAATGAATTCAGATCTAAATAAGGTTTATCAATCAACATATTGCTATATGATACAGGATTATGACCACTGACTAACTCTGTAGATGAAATGGGAAGATAAAGATCAAGCTTAAAAGGGTCATAGAGCAGTTTATTGCTCTCTTTCTTATCTTATGCTTCACACTGCAAAAGTAAATAAAGTAAAACAAACATGGAGTCACAAGTACAGCAGCAATGCACAAAACTCCACCTGTTTCCTACACAGAAGCTACATCATACTATACAGATTAAGATTTTATATAGAAAATATGATAAGTTTGTAAAATATGATGCATTAGTATTAATTAACAACCCAGCTGTGCATTAAATAGTCCAAATTAGCTTCACCTCAACCAGCTACAACAGTAAAATGTTTTTTTTTTTACACATGGATTCATCAGTATTAGTAATTCAGTAATATAATATAGCAGGAATAGTAAGACACCTAAAAGAGCCATTTCACTGCATGGGTACTTTTACTTCAAGAGCATTTTGCTCTTAAGCTTACAAACTTTTGCTTAAGTAACATTTTTAATAAAGAACTTTTACTCATACTGGAGTATTTTCACAGTGTGGTGTTGCTACTTATATTCAAGTATAGGATCTAAATGTTTCCTTCACTACTTCCCTTGATATACGTAGAAAATCCAGTCTGCTGTGTATGAGTTGCCAGGTCTGTTTCTGCCTCTTTGGGTTGCCCGTTCAAAACAAATTCATAAGAATATTTTCTAAGATGGCACAGAGACTGGGCTTATAGCAAAAAACCCGCCAAAGCTGAGAGCGCTCTCAAGATAACTGCCTAGTTACTTCACTTTATACTGACACCAATGAGAAATAGAGAGACTGATGGAAAATCCAACATTAAAAAAATAAGTTTCCACACAGGTCTGTGAATACAAGAGTAAGTTTTATTCAAACTTTACAGTAACTTAATGACAAAAAACAGTGCCACAGTTATTTGACAAAAATAAAAGTGCTTGTGAATACAATCAAACTTGTTTCTCTCACAGTAAATAAACCAGATACAGTGATTTGCTATTATGTTAATTCACAGTTGTGACAAAAAAAGAAAAAAAAAATCAAAGATGCATAGGACAACCTGACGACGCTTCTGTGAAGGCTCCAGCTGTGTTACTGCATGACAGAACAGAATCAACACATTCTACAGAAAAATTACAACAAGCAGAACATGACAATGTGCAAAACAAATCGTCTTGTTATTTTGAACACATACTCATAGGTAGTAAAAATTAGACAAGGATATAAATTAGAAACTTGTGTTTGGGAAAAGTTGAAGGTTTTCATTTGTGTTTTTTGCCTGTCAGTGATGACGTGACACTAGCTAAGCGATTTTTAGCATCATTACAGTTGAGGTGTGCAGTGTACTCAAACAGGCTTAGATTTGCACAAATACCTGATGTTTATGTTGTTACAAATGAAAATAAATAAGTCAATAAATAAACAGTCTTGTAAAACTTAAACCAGGAAGCCTTTGCTGCTTATTCTTTAAAATGTTCACAGTAAATTGCCGTGGCATATGAAGTGTACTGAACCTTCAAGCTAAAAATTAGCAGTTCATCCTCGTCAGCTTCACCCTCCTCTCTCATTTTCATAAGGTGAAACTTCTTTTCCATTTTCAGTTTATTATAACTGATTCATTCATTTTAAGATAAATTAAAGCCTTAAGGCCACAAAATACTGTATTTCACAAAAGGAATTCATTTATCACAACAACAGGAAATGCTTTTATGTTTAATTACATAAATGATTTAAATTAATAGTTAGAACAGTGAGAGCTATGCTATTTCACTTTATTGCCGAGAGTTAGATGAAAGAATGACATCATTCTTTTGTTTGTATGCTAAGTATGAAGCTACAGCTAGGAGCTAGTTAGCTTAGCTTAGCATAAACACTGTCATTTTTACAGTTTGATTGATACTGATTAACCAATGAAAAATGACATGTTCATTGGTTCATTGCTATCGAGGTGTTAAAGGGCGGAGACAGAGACAAAGCTAGCTGTTCCTTGTTTCCAGGCTTTATGCTAAGCTAAGCTCACTGGTAAATTGGCTGTATCTTTCTATGTACTACACTTCGACATATACTGTGTAGAAAGGACATGGCATCACCACTTGCCTTCACTTTGCAAAAATGAAGCCAAAATATCATGAATATGGCAGCCGCCACCTTGATTCTTCATAACCACATTCTGCGCAGCAGTGACCAGGTGTGGAGTGACAGCACTGAGCTACCAATCAAAGCTGTCAAATGATCCGAAATGTATCATCAAATAACTCTTTTAAAACAAACATGTGAGAAAAAATGACCACTTGTACAGACACACGATACTGTAATATCTAACAAAAACCACAGCAGTGACCTTTGGGAAATATGTACCTGATTTGTACTTTTGAGTTTTTAAGGTTGGCTCATGTCCCATCCACCAACACGGAGGAGGCGAGATTAATGAACTATACTGCAACCAGCCACCGGGGGATTGTGTTGGCTTCACTTCTGGGAGCTCTTAGCCTGTCCATCCTTTTCACAAAGGTACCACACAAACATCTGAGTGGTATCAGTCTACACGTCTAACTCTCATCAAAGAACTAAATACGCTTATTCCCAAAAATCAGGAACAAATTTTTTTCATGCCATTAAGCTCACCTGACCAACCAAAATTTCAGAACTGCTGACTTTAATCTTGATCTTCTTCCTTACACATGCTTACAACATTTCAATTCTAGCAGCATCTGTGCTCAATTTCATCTACAGCACAGATAACCCTTCCATCCTCTGCCCGATCTCAGACCCTCATCCCCTATCTAGTTTCCTTCCTCAACTCCAAACCCTGTGGCCTGGTTTCCCAGCAGCAAGCAGGCCAACATATCATCCAGCTACTCTCTCCACTACTGAAACATATGACCGTCATAGGAGCTGGCTACAGTAATACTGGATTTCTACCTTTGCCAAGTAGACAAAATACACTAGTGCTACAATATTAAAAAGGAAAAGATTTACTTATATGTGGTGCTCACTGCAGCTCCTGAGGCCAAAACGCATTAAGAGCGCACTGAATGTGTGTCAGACTTACTTACTTACTGTAAGTACACCCATTTGTTAGCATTTTGTGTCAAACAACTCAGAAAATGCTTTACTCTCCTGAAGGCAGAGAGATAAAGGTAGATCTGACAAGCTGTTCCTTTCACTTTAAGCCAAGCCTACTGTAAACAACCCAGAAGGCTGTTACACATATATGTTTTCACTTTTAATCTACTGGTGAAAACTATCTCCATCTTTTGCTGTAAACAAAGACACAAAACAGTTCAAATGTACAATTTGAAACAGATGTTTGTCATGTCTTTTGGCAGTGGTGGTACGCAATCTATTGGTTGTGAGCACAAAGAAAAAATACAAGTGCTCCAAGTTCAGGGCTCCACTGAGATGCTCCCTCAAAACCTACTCTTTTAGTGTTTCCACCGAGTGTCAATACGGCCAAGTTGTTTCAAATTTGCTCAGAATGCTTTTCAACCTCCATCCCATCTGCTTCTTCAGCATCAAAAACCTGCTTCACTGATTTTCCAACTAAAATATATTATTTGATTATAAGCCCTATGCCCTAACCCCTAAGCCCCTGAACCCCCAAATTTTAACCCACCCCAACAAAAATGTTCAATCCAAATGATCAAACCATGACCATCAAAGAAAAACATTTACATTCAAAGCTTAACTTCCAGCTCTAACCTACAAATGTTCACAAACACCCTTCCATAACCAGGGCCCCTCAGGTTGACCCTCACCATACCCAAAGCTTGAATCCTTCTTTCTCAGACCAGGTCCCAAACCTCACACCCTGAAAACATAAAACCTTAAATTAAACCCAAATCTCCCCAGCTCCATTCCAAGACCATCTGCAGCGCTGCGGCCTGGTGCGCTGGTCTAGGAGCTGATAATCTGACCTGACCAGGTTTCATGCTTGGTGCCTGGGTTCAGGTGGGTGATAACCACGTCAACGGCCTGGATCTTCTGGTTCTTGGGAGGGATGGGACACACTTTGTACGTGACCTCGTCCCCTTCCATAGGCACGTACTCCCCATCAATGCTGTCAAAGAAACACAAAATTAGAAACTCAACAAAGAAACTGATTTAATGAACCAAAGAGAAACAAGCCTCATGGGCTGGGTAGCACTCAAGCTACCATCAACATCATCTTAAAGACAGTGTTAAAGGTTAGTGTCCATAATCCAAACAAAAGAGGTCACTCACTCAGAGATGTGGACAAAGATGTCCTCTCCTCCATGAGAGGGGCGTATGAATCCATGACCCTGAGACCTGGAGAAGTTTTTACACACTCCCTTAAATACTGGACCTGATTTGGCTCGCACTGTCCTGCAGAGAAAGAATGGCGTAGACAGAAAGCACAAGGGCGGAAGAAGGGGGCAGTGCATCACAAATCACTGTACCACAAACATCAGCACTCATTACAAAACCTGCCATCTTTTCATGCTCTATGTTCCCACTCACGCTGAGTATGTGCGGGTGCGTTTGGTGGGCAGTGGGCTGGGCAGCTCTCCAGGCTGTGGCGGCTTCCTCTCCCTCTCCCAAACCCGGCTGCCCTCCCTCAGGAAAGGGAAGGAGAGCTGCAGTGGGGTGCGTGGGGAGGTGAGTGGCAGTGCAGGGTCCGCTGGTGAGGAGGTATCAGGGTCTGACATCTTGACTTGTTACAGGTTGAGTTTTTTTATGGTTTGGGTTTCCTCCAGTGACACACAAGGAAGAAGTGGAAGGAGGGTTACACCTCCTGCATGGTCAGAGTGTATGTGAGGGAGGTGGGACGTCCTGAGGGGAGGTCTTGCAGGAGCAGTGTACCCTGCAATAAAGAAGCAGAGCGGTAGGTCTGGAACAGTCAGAGAGCGAAAGAAAGGTTCCATCAAATACCAGATTGACAAAATAAAAAAAAATCTGAGGCACATGGTGTGTGACTTTCAAATCTTATTTTGTGTTCTCACATCCCCACTTGTAAACATTGTTTTATTGACATTCAATAGCCATTTATTTTGGGTACCATTACAGAGCAGATATGATGTTTTACACTGAGCTGGGTGTATGGGGCCACTACAGATGTCTAAAAACCTTTTATCTACCTTTATTTTGTTATGATTTATTGTTGCATGCTGCCCTGTTTCCATATGTCTGGAGTCACCAAAAAATGTAAATGATTAAAAACTATGATACTGTGAAAGACCAGTCTCGGTGTTAAATGATTATCTGACCCACCACAGAGCCCACTCAGGGGTTATCAGGTCATGCTGTCATAAATCTGTTGGGCACCATAAGAGGTGACATTGTGACATCGGATGGGAGGAAATAAGGAGCAGAGTCAAAGTCAACTAACGAAAGCACTGTGTGTGTGTCTCATTGTCACACAAAATAAACAATTCTTAATGATGTATGGCTTATTATTTCATGGAACTAGGGGTACAACTTACTTTTTACATGTATTTCAAATGCGACACCCCTCTCTGAGTCTGTGCCCCAGCCTGGCCAGCCCGTCCAAAGTGTCTGGCCCAGGTGGCTTGTTAGGCCATTTAATCAGACAGCCAAGCCCGCTCTCTTGTTCAGCCATCATACTTCCACTACTCTTACCAATAGCCACTGCCCTCTGGCCCTTGACCTGTCTCACCAACTAAAGTAACATGTGAAAATGAAGTTTTGTGCAAGAGTGCAGGTAGGTCTACGGGGTCATCAGGTGGGCATCCTCTCAATAACTGGTGTTTTGCTGAGTTGAACACACAACACTAAGCTAATATTCACCCCACCTTGGTAATGCACCAGCCAAACATCTTAGCAAGCTTACTTTATATATTTTTAAAAAACGGTAACAATTTAGTTATTTGAATACATCTCTCGCCGCATTTTATTTCCCACACTGTGCCAGAGGGACACTAAAACCTTTTGACTCTTACTGCAATCAAACCAAATCCTTTGTAGCTGTGGCTTTGAAAAGGTTGCAAGATGATGTAAATAACACTCCTCCCCCAGCTCATCCCACTTTATTATATTACAATCCCCACTCACACAAAGCTAATTCATTATGGGATTGCTCTGTACTAGTCTGTAGACAACCGTTTAAGACTGAGCTCCATCACTGATAACCATTATCACTGATAACCACTCCATCACATTATCATTTTGTAACTGTGCTGTGTGTGTATCCCTAGCTGGCTCCTTATGACACTCACACAACAAAACCAAAGGACTACAGGGCATTATTCCACA